TTTTCCCTGGGGTTTGTCACAAGGCTGCCAGTATTAGAGAGCAATTTTTCAAGCAATTCGGGGCAAAGTCTCCAAGGTTAATCCCGAATGTGTACCCAAGTGTTTTTTCCCTATTTCTATTTGGGTTATAGATAGGATTATCTTTCCCAATGTGGTTAGATGCTCACATTTCTGGTCCTAAACAGACACTCAGAAGGCAAATATCCATTTGAAACGAAGAGACTGTTTTCCACAGTCTAATCGTCTTGGGGACATTTTGTGTGAATCTGTTCTTCTGTTCCCCATGATCCACAGGACTTCATAGTCCAATTTTTAATCTTATGTTCTTCTTTAAGAAAAAAAAGAAAAAGCCCATTCACTGCAGAAGAATGGCTGGACTGGCTGACATCACTGCATCGTTCCCACTTAGCTACTGACTGATTTGACAGTTCAAAGTTATAGGTTTTCTGTGAATTACCTCCCGTATGTTAGGTTAAAGAAAGAAAATCTATTCTCTGTTGTAAAAAACAGACTTTTCTGAAAGATTGAGTGAAATCATCAGGCCTCCATTCTTTCCTTTCTTATTGATTTCAGTGAGACATTTTTGTTATGCTGAGGCATGGCTTACATGTTTTCCTTGGTAGTAAAGGCTGATTTTCTACCTGGCTACATAAGCCAAAGTAAAATATTCTTGCCATACAGATATATAAAAGGGTATAAGAGGTGTGGTTCAATTTCTCTGGATCAGCAATTCTTTTCCAAGAGGGCAAAGAGAGTAGGCAGGTGAACACCATTCTGTCAAAGGAAATTTTTTTCTTCCATAAACAATATTGAATACAAAAGGCATTTGTCTAACCATTATTTTTTCATTGGAAAACGGTGACCCTATGCCAGAGATAACGTTATGATCCACTTTAAAATCTACAAGTAGGCAATCCAAAAAGCTTCCAGTTGTTTACATATTATTCACTAGAATGGTTGAACTCAAACTTTTGTTTATGCCAGTCCATATGAAAGACAGTAAAACACTATCACTCAGTGATAGCATTAATATCACAGCACTAGCTGCTAAATATGATATCTCTACCCATCAACACCTCTTTAGGTTAGGTAAAAGATATGGCACTAGGCTAAGAAAGGAGTAGTAGGTGAAAACAAGGCTGTAGCAATAGCAGAAATTGTGTACTAGTTCAGAGGAAGCAACCCATATTACAGCTTTTGACTGTCATTTCCTATTTCTATTCTTTGCAGCCAGATGACTGGACAGCCTAGACACATTTAAGGTTACAGTCCTTAGAAAGTACCAAGCAATTGATACTTTAGAAAAAGTTCATGGACAAGAGCCTGGAAAGAAGGTCTTCTCTTTCCCAGTAAGAGGCCAAATGATGATGCTGGGTAATGATTTGCAGTTAGACTTTTCCATCTGCTGAGACCTGAAGAGTATTTTTTCTTCTCAAAAATGGAATGATTTCAGCATGATATGTAATTGTCAGCAAGACCTTGCTGAGGAGAAGTTAAAGCTCCCCCCCGCCCCCGACCCCCAAGAACCAGGAAATATTTTGGGAGGAAAAGGAAAAAAAATAAAAAATAAAGGAGTAATAAAACACAGCTCTTCCGTACGCTGGCTACCTAATATGCAAATGATGCCAGTTGCCTTTCACACAACTCTTCTTGAAATAAATGTTGTACATTTAGGTAAAGCAAGGTTACATCTTGTAGTATCAAGCACCTCTATGATGTTAGAAGAGAATATCTAATCTGTGGGCCACAGAAACCTGTTATGTGAATCAGTATCAAACTAGTCAGCTCTCTAAAGAGCAAGGTACTTCTCCCTTGAATTTTGATGTCAAAACCTGACAATGTAGATATTTTCTAGCGGAGGCAGCTGTAAGCAGGATCTCCGTAACTCAGAAGTGAGCATCTCCACCTGAGACTTGCCCTAATCCCACTTTAATTTGTCCTTTTCGCCGATAGGACCCCAATTGCTAGGCAAGGCAACAGTTGTTCTGACACTTTGAAGGCTTCATAGGCCTTACTTAGGCAAACAGGGCTAGAGGAGCAGCAGTTTACTCAGACTTCCTGGTTAAAGTTCCTAAGCTGTATTTGGTCAAAGAGAAAGGGCAAGACTACAAATAAATCTAGAAACTACTCTTGCATGTGAGAGAGTTTAGAACCTGATCCCTGCTAACTTTAACAGAGTACAAATCTAACCCTCGTTATTCTAAGTCTCATATGAATTACTGCCCGACTGCAGGCATTGTCACATTTTCAGAACTTGAAAGTTTGCTGTATAACCAGCAGCATAGCTTAGAGGTCTAGATTTATCTGTAAAGATAGAGATGCATAGATGATTTCATGAGTGAGAAAGGAGTTTCTCTGTATCCAGGCTTTGAACTTCTCACAAAAGCAGCTGTAAATCAATTTGTGGATTTTATCTCCTGTCCCAAAACTGACAGCTGTCATTCATTACTTTTATAGAGTAGACAGAAAGAAAAAAAACATATGAATAACACTGAACTTTAGGATTTGCAAAATCCGGTTGTGAATCTAAACTTGGTCCCATTTACCAAGAGATCTGATGGAAAAGAAATCAATATAGAAAAAGATTTAGATTAAACAGTAGACAATCTAAAAACACAGTATACTGAATGCGTCATCAGGATACGGCTGTTTCAAAAGAAAATTATGTTTTGATTATAAATAGGTGTAAAACAACTAAGCCATTTATAAATGACTGAATTCAAACTTATTAGGCACATTAAACTAAATTCTACATTCTTGCTTCTTTTAAACATCCATCAGTTTAATGATCTAAGAAATAACTTTAGGCACTAGCTTTTACAACAAAGTCTTTAAGTATAAGAATCCAAATATGAACCACCCTTTTTGCCCTTTGTAATGGAATGTATGCTATGCTAAGCAAATTAGTGCATAAGGAGTAGAAACACTTATTTGCACTAACGCTGTTTCGTCTTTGCTTCCGTTATGTTTTACATATGTATGACCAGCCCAATTTTCCTCACCTGTGTGAGGTCTTTGTCATGGCACGACCAAAACACAGACACACACACGATCACTGGAAACCGCATAGGTCATCCAAACACTATGATAACTGAGATTATGGATGACTTCGGTACAGACATGGTAATGTCCACATACAAGCTGGGAAGCTGATACAATGCACTATAATTGAGAGCTTAACCTCTGTTCTTTGAGGTCTCTTCCTTGCCCAGCATTCCCTAAAAGCTATTTTTTAGCATGTCACCCTACTCATAAGAATTGACAAGAATATCACAAACTGATAGAGTAACCTACGACAGTGATAGAATTCGCCTATCCCTGAGCAGGGCATAGTACAGTGCTCTGTCAATGCTGGAAAAAAACATGATGGCTCTTGCTCTCCAAATGAGATACTGAAAGTTCCTGTTAATTAATCTATGATTTTTTCAGTTTATTAATTTGTATTAATATCTGTGAAGGTAGCCTATGATCAATGTACAAAGTCATAAAATAGAGCTAAGGAACATTTTTGTCTTAAAATAGTTTAGGTGTACAGATTCCTTCTGTGGCTGTAGGCATTACAGTTGTGAGTAATAGAGTTAAAAAAAAAAGAGAGAGAGTTATGTGACAGCTCAGTTTAGCAGTGAAGAATCACTGAAGAATCACTTTGCAGAATAAGAGTTCTATCCTAACTGACATTTCAACCCAAGGACTGATGATATATGGATTGCTTCATTCCCCTCTTCTAGAGTCAATTATTAATATGGTTTCTCATTACATTTGAGGAGTCACAGTCAGCTTCCTGGTCCCATATTAGGCAGTCTGCAGCAGCCTTCACCAAAAATAATATTCATCCAGTGACACACAAATAATACAAGTACCAACTTTAGGCAAGATACTTTTGGGGCTCTGGCTCTTATTTGAATTTATTTCCATTTAGATATGTGATTAATTTCTTGTTTAATAATCTCTTTTAACTGCTTACTTTAGAGTTCCAAGGTTCGTTGAAATAACAGAAAACTTCACTAAGTCTTCACAGAATATCTTTGCAAACAAATATTTTTGATCTTCAGTGTATATCTTCAGTCGATTGAAATAGGTGAAACATAACACTAGTAGATGTGGCAGATATAGTAGATGACATTTATAAAAAGAAAGACAATAAAAAACTCAAATTCTCTATTAATGTTTCCTAGAAAATTGTATTATTCAATTTGAGAATAGCTGCTCTATTGTCTTGTATTAGTTATGTGTAATGTCGCTATGTCCTTTCTGTGTATATTTCTCAACTTGCTAAGGCTGAATACTGGAAAATTTGTTTATGTAGTGCAACAAAATCCAAAACACAAAATAAAGCATCTGAAGTAAAAATAACATATGCTGGTGTACATTTTCTACACCAAATGGTCTTAAGCAAGATTAGGGCATTTATATGTGAATAAAAACCTGTGCATTACAGTTCTAGGCATATAGTAAGATAGAGCCAGATGAGTGGGAGCAGTTGAGAAATATAATGTAGCAGCAGTGTTATGTCTGAAGAGGGGTGGATGTCTTCATAAAATTTCTGTGACTATAGATGGCATACATATGACATTTCCTTTCAGCTTCCTCTCCTTCTCAAAGGTCAAACACAATGAACGTTTCATGAAGAACGAGGAAGGGCCACTGGGACTCTCATTTTTACAGGATTACCCTATGAAATGTTCCAGATGAATAGCTGGTTTTCTGTAGCTTTAATCAGAAAAGCGATATTAAATCAATCTAACTCCTTTCCCCCTCCACCCTTTGAACTATTAACTTGACGGGAGAAAGATTTGGTGATATACTGTTTTGTTTAGAACACCTTGTTCTGTGTGAAAATAAACATTACAAAAGGTGATACTACAACAATGGAGTGTAAAGTGAAAACTGAAAACATTTGCAGCATGTAATTTTGATAAATTGTATATTTTTTTTCTTAGCATGGATGGCATTCATGTTTTACTAGCTTTATGGTAACCCACTGTTCCTGCCCTGTACAGCAAGGTCTACTAATCACCGACCCGCAGAAAGCTCTGTCTCAACTGGCTCGTCAGCCAGTAGTTTTGGCAGTGGATACAGCATGGATAGTGAAGGCAGCAGCAGTACCGCAGGAGAGAATAATCTATTTCCCATCCCAAGAATGTAAGGCTTTTCCTTTAACATACTCTATCCTCCGTGCGCTGACAATGCTTTGTATAGCTCTTTCACCTGCCAGTTATTCTCTTCCGTAGTTTCCTCTGCAGACTTGAGTTATATGGTAGCATAGCATGAAACACGGGGAGAAATTCTCAAAATTCGTACTTTCATTGTGCTTTTTGAGCACCGAAATGTTAATAAGCCAAACGCATTCTTCGTCCTCATAAAGTTATTGCTGTCACACAGCAGAGAAACTGGTCTCAGCTTTGGGGCAAGTGTGTAGAGGTGGGTTTGGGTCATATTTTAAACGTAAAATTTTCCTAGGCTTGAAAACATTCAGCTTGAATTTTCAGACTGACTCCCTTACAGAAATAAATATTAATAGCACAGCTTAAATTCAGATATTAGATGTGACCCAACTTTCCCCAGATTTCAAATAGTTTGAGTGGAATTTCTCAGAAAGATGTTGTTTGCAATTTTAGTTAAAGATGTGGTTTTGGAGTCCCTGTAGGAATTCCCATGCTATTAGCAGTGCAATGATTCTATAAAATAATTTAACTTCCAACCATTTTCCTGAGTTAGCTACTCCGCAGAGAAAAGCGTTACTAGGATTTTCCCTTCGTTTTGTCAGCATGCTCCTTCCTTTTGCAATTTCCTTTATAGGAAAAAGTAATTCTACTTAATCAATTGAATGTTTCTCGCCTGCAATTTTTACAGATTGACTAGTCTCAAAATATATGGGTCCATGAAAAATATTGATCAGTGTTCCTAGCGTACTCAGTATCTGCAATAGTTATTCTATTTTTTTTACCTCCAGAGCACAATTTTTTTGTTTTTCTTCCCCAGTCCTAAATTACTAGTCGCAAGGGCTTAATATAGTCTTCTAAAAAAGCCTGACTGATTCAAAACAGAAAACATTCGATTTCTTCCCTAGAACTGAGACATTCCTAAGTATTCATCGTTTTATGAAATATGGTCCAATAGCGTTTGACTGCAACTTATTAGTGGCTAAAAAGGATAGCTACCAAATTTTTATGTTTCCTGTTCAGCACGTAGGAAGACTAAGTGAGCTCAGCTATAGTGTGCTAGTTGATTAATCTTTCCTGAACTTTTCACTCATCTTGTTTCAGATTAAAATGAGTTGTACTTCACGGTGGTAGAAAGATGGTTTTTATCAGGGCTTAACAATCTCAAAAGAAAATTATTCTGCAGTTATCCCTAATGACAGAAGCACAGATGCAGAAAAGCTTTGTGTACACAAACATAAAACACAGCTCTCAGTAAAACTTTTTATTTCACTTACTATAAATTTGAGTCTAAATAATACCACCTGCTGTGCACTGTCTAACAACGTGGCAGTGTCTACAGTTACTTGGTATTTGCTTGACAGATTCACTAGTTTATTAAGCCTAAAATCAACAGCACTTCCACCGAAAAGCTGGCAAAGCTCTCCATGGATTTCAGCTCTCCTTTTATAGTAATTGGTTCCCAATATCCAGCCCCTTTATTTCCTGTTACACGACCTAGACTGCCTTTTTCAATTATTGCATTGTAAATGTAAATTGGTTATTCACAAATATTGGATAGACCCTCTAGAAGGCACTCAGGACATTTATACATACAATAAGTGCCTTTATTTTTCTTGTCACCCTGAAGGAGTTTATATGGCAGTGTAATGAAAACGAATGACAGAAATTACTGTTCAGAGACCTTTGGAATCATCTCAGGGGACAGGTTTTGAAAGAGTTAATTTTTTTTATCCTCAATTCAAAATGAAAAATGTTATATTTCTGAATTTATACACGACATTCTAATGAGCATTTATGTTCACACTAGCTTGAAAATGACTGCAGGGACTCTGACCTCATGCACTAATTCAGTATACTGATAGGACCACATATCATGAATGGGATATAGAGTGTTAAATGAACTGAATAATTTTAAGTGTCTTGGCATATAAAACTTTTTTGGGCAATAAGTTCTTCGTTTAGATTAGAACAAGTTTTTAATTTACATATAAACAAAGTATGAGAGAATCCAGGTTTTAAACTCTTTAGTCCAAATGCTTTTGATCATATGAACAGTTAGCCAAGACATAAGATAAAAGAATTAAATAGTGACACCGTGAGAATTGCTTGATGAAGTAACTAATTAGAATCATTACTGATATCAAATATTGTTACAACTATCAGGGGAAATCAATCATTATGCATAGTTACACACAGCTGAATAATACATTTCATAAAGTCTTTCTATTTGGGAAATCATTTGCAAAAATCTCCTATCCAATTGCCAGAGTTTGTAATACCGCTTAAAATGACTTACGCTACCATCTACGATAAGGACCAGATCCTCTACGCCTTTAAACTAGGTAACCAGGTACTCCAGGGCAACATCTGTATAATGCCTGTTAACTTAAAATGCAGTTACATTCTTTCATACTGGTGAAAAGTAACTGAATAGCATGTAAGGAATCAAACCCTAGGGACAGATAATTCTTGTAACATATTTGCAATACTTCACAAATTGTGTTACCTCAGAAAAGAGGGAAAAATAGTTTACTGCCAATTAAAACTGAATTTAAATAACTTTAAGAACTGACATTTTATACTTATTATTTTTTAGTCTATTAAGAAATCAGACAGATTTTTATTGCTGCCATGAAATATCAAACCAGCTCATTGGTTGGTGTGGAAAAGCAGTGACTCTTCAACCCCAAAGGAATCATACACACCTGAGGATAACAGCCTCTACCAGAGCATTTCAGAGAATCTTAAAGTAGAAAGACAAATAGAAGCACAAATTTCTCATAGTGCAAGCATTCTTTTGAGGATGACTATAATCATGCCTTAGGGCTTGCAACAAATACAAATTTAAAGACAGTCTTTATTTTGCCTAACTTTCACTACCAAAATTAAACATCTAGATAGCTACCCAGGTTCTCTCCACATCCTGGAGAAAGACAGGCACCTCCAGAGCATGATTTATTCCACTCATGTTACCTTAAGATTAACACAAGTCTCAACACTGAACCATTTCTTACACAAAACCTAAACTGTAATATTAAAGCAGTTATTCAAAGATAATAACCACAAACACACCTTACCTCAGAAGTGATGGTATTGTAGACCAAATAGCCACTCTGTTACTCCGTATTATATATTCCACCGTTCCCTGGCCCATAACAGGTTAAAGTGAGGAAAGAGGCTATGCAGACTGATCACAGAAGCCTGGGCTGATGGGAGGCAGGTGGCAGACAGCACCTGGTGGTCCCAGCTCTGGTCTTTGCTATGCAGAGGCTTAGCAAAGTGTGATTGCATTGCCTCCAAAAGAGAAAAAATAATGTTTTTAAGTGATCTGTCTAAATAGCAATCAAAACAAAAAATGTCATTTTTATTGTTTTTCTTATATATGGACATATATAAATATGTACACCCAAAAGGTTTTTAGAAATATCTGGGATATTAGGATATGAGTTTATCTTTTTGTTCCGAACTAAGCTTCATTGGCTTGGATATATCATTTTCTTAGATCTCATCTCTTTATGGCCTTATTCACAACTACCATTATATTTTTTAACAGTGGGAAGATGAGCCAGAATGGACAAGAACCGATAAAGCAGTCAGGAGTGGGATTAACCGATGCAGAAGGTAAAAAGAAATACAAACAACACTACAGTGATATACCATTTTGTTTATAGAATTGGTATAATTATTTCTCCTACTTGTTATGCTATGAAAGATTAGCCTGTGCTCTCTTTGTATTATAGATTAAGTTCCTGACTTTCATTTATTCTAAGGGCCCTTAACACATAGCACTGCTGTAATGAGTCTTCAGTTTAAATGAGGATCATGTCTTATCTGTTTATTTAAATTAATTAAACAGTCAGATTGCAATGAATAATATCTGTCTTTCAATGTTCATTGCTTTTGGTAGTATTGGAATAAAAAACTATGAAGTATGGATCTGACTCACCCATTAAATCAGTAGCTCTCCAATGGCTCTCAGGCCATATTTTCACAGCATTTCATAATATTTGCTTCATACAACAAATATTAATTTTGGTGTCTATATAAAACAATCAGTTTAAATAAAATTTTAGTGGACTATCAGGTTTGACCACTGCACTTGCGCTGTAGTGAAACTTTTATGCGATTGGGAAATCTTGAGTGAATTATTTTATCATGAATGTGGTGCTGCCAAAGAAGGAGCCGTCGTATTTTTGGAGCTGGAAAGAGCCCGGCAGGATAGCTGTCAAAGGTTCATGAGTAACATGATCATCTCTTTCATATGTAATAACGGACAACTGCATGAAAAATAAGAGACGGATATGTTAGGAAAATTCCATTTCCCTTAGCATATAAAGTATTTTCCTCCAAGTATATGTTTCTTTTGACCTCAAATATAAAACTTAATTACCACTAACTTCATTTTATTATTTAAGTAATATTTTTATCATTTTAATGCATTGCAGTACAGCTTCGGGGTTTTAATTAATTTAAAAATTGAAATTCATATGTACAATTGAAGTTAAGTCCATTTGAAGTCCAGTATTAAAAGAATCAACATTTGTCAGGTTTCTGCAATCTGTACACATGGGGAAATAATTGCTGTTACTATATTTGAGGTAGAAAGTGGTATAATGTTTTATAGATTTGAAGAAATCAAATTAGAATTTGAAGGCAGAACAGTAAAACAGTATTTTCCAAATCAAGACTCCTGAAGTGTGTACATGCATTCTACTGAATCTTTCAGTGCACAGTATTTCTCATGTAAAAATCCAAATTAAGCTTCTTATAAAGTTTCAATTTGTTCAATGGCATTTACAAGTATTTGAAAAAATCCTATTTTTTAAAAGAGAAATGGTGAGATGAAAATGGGAAATCAGGAATTTTCCATTTTTTAATTTTGTCATGATGTGTTTTATACAGAATCATAATTGTAAACAATTACATCATTTTGTTCATCATAAATTGTCCCTTAATTAATGTTTTCGATCATAAACTTCAGCATATACAAATACAAAATGTTTTGATTTTATGTTTGTACCATTAAAAGAAAACTTTTGTCACATTCTGAAAGATGGTCACTACACTACATTTCCAGCAGAAGGTGTGTTTCTCATCTTCAAAATCTGCAAATTACTCCAGAATTGTAATTCAATAATTTTCACTTATGATGCAATTCATCTAGAGGCTCTGAGTTAGAGTTCCAAAGCTGAGGGGCTAGATTGTGAGGAAGAAAGGTACTTCCAGACACTGAGCCTTATAACCTTTTTCAGGATGAAATGAACGGCTCTTTCTACGCACTGTTTCTCCCCATTAAGAGAAGCCAGGGTGACCAGCTAAGTTTTTAGTGTCTGACTTTTAGCTGATTAAGCTTGGACAGATCAATCTCAAATGACAAAATAAACTTCTAAGAGCTGGAAAAGAACTTTTAAGAACCTTTCAGATTCAGCATATAGATCTAATAATCTTTTGGGCATATAGTTCGGTATTTAGATGAATTGAAGATTGACCAAAATAATTATTTCCTATAATTGTGGTATTCTTTTCCTAGATGAAGAAAAGTGGATGAAAATCTTTGTTACACAGTCTTAAAAATCAAACGATACCGTAGTATCTGCAGCTCTGCAATTAACTGGAAGCAAATATTCATTCCCATTTTTCATTAATTTATAGAAAGCATAGCGGCTCCCATGGTTGGCATTTGTATTCTCATCTGCAAATAAGGATTTAGTGCTATAGTTCAAACCTTTTAATTCTAGCGCTATTTTTACATTTCAAATATTTTAATGGATGATTTTTGTGGAAAGTAGCCTGAGGATTATTCTCTTGAAAACTGCGCATAATAAAATTCAGTTGCTTAAGCATGGGGACCTACTTGAAACATCCTAGTTGTCCAAGCCGTTCACACGGGCCTGGCAATATGGCAGGGGATACAGAGGGTCATGATCTTTAGGACCAGTAGGTGTAGGCAAGGTGGGAACTCTCAAATGGATTGAAAACCTGTTTTTAGGCAAATGAAACAGACTGTAGTAACAGAGTTGGGATTCAGCTGAAAGAGTAAGACACCAAAATTTAGGCTTATACCTTAGTGGATTCATCAGAGAAAATTATGTTCCTTTCAACCAGTTTTGTAATTGTTTACTTACTTGAGAAATGCGCTAATGTATTGCTGGGAATAAGTAGTTTTTGTGCTATTGACATGTATCAGTTAAGTTACAACCAAATCTTGGAAAACAGTGCTATTTACTTTGTTGGCACAACCATATGGTCAGTATAAATAACTATGGGTATTGCTATGATAAACTTTGTTTCTCTGAACAAATCAGCTTGTTGTTTTCTGTATTTTCATACTACTTAATAATATAAAATAATTCTGAGTTTTGTTCTTGGGCACTGTGCTGGAGTTATTTTTATGATATGCATTGTTGCATGCTATCTTACACTTAACTTCTGCCCTGAGCAGATGAAAATCTTCATCTTCATAGACTCCGGTAAATATTCTGATGCTTATTGTAATCTTCATTGATTTATGCAAACTGGTTTCTCTATTCATCTCAGAAAGTGCAATATCATTTGTTTAAAGGTCTATTTTGATGTGTTAATGGCATATTACAGACATTACAGACAAAATAACATTCATGTTCCATGTAAGGATGTAAACTAACAATTAAAAATACATGATTAATACTTTGATTCGGTCGTAGATCATGATTAGTCTATCTGCCCTATGTAAGTGCTGAGCCAATAGATCCCAGGCGGTATTTTCCACCTACTAAGTATTTATCGGATGAAAATATATGGGGAGAATTATTTTTGTGTATGTTTCAAAAGTGTGGGTTTACAAGGTAATCTTAGCTGTAATTATTTCAGGTAGACAAGAGCCCTTTAATTATACATATACATATAGCTTTTTAATTGAAATAGTTTGCTATAAGGAAATTTTGGATCTCATTTTAGAGATGTCAGTAAGCATCGCCCAGGTTCACTCATTCAGTATCTTTTGGAGTGAATGAGTATCACAATGCTGCTGTCACTGCCTATGTTCTGATTCATTCTTGCCAGGATTTTCAGTCACCGAATTGTATGTTTATACAGGAATCCAGTAGCTCCCAACCCTCATCTTCTGCGAGTGTTTTGACTCTCCCTCTATCTCTCTCTCTCTTTTTTTTTTAATTCCCATCCAATCCTTGTCCTGAATATCAAGAACTTCTCTAAGTAGTTCTACCATGTCTCAGAGGCTCTGAGATGTCCTGACATTTCAAGCAGTTTTGGATGGTCAATAGTGCAGTAAAATGAAATCCTGTAAAGACGGAATTTTCTCTATGCGTGGACGACTGAAGTTAAGCAGAAATTTCCAGAATGTAATTCTGTAATTTCCAGTACATAAAGCCTCTACAGACATATTTTTCCAGACCTGAGCAGAAGGAATAGGTTTATGCTACACCTTAAAATCCGATGATGCACAGACTACTTACTGAACTTTTGCAGGAAGAGATACTAGTGACATTCAATTGCTGTTGACCTATCTGCTAATGAAGTCTTCCAGAATTCTTCTTTTTGCATAGTATGTATTTGCCTGAATTACAGATAAAACTGCAAAGACAACTATAAAATGGAATAACATCATGTTTTATCAGGCAAATTTTACAATGATTTTACTACGATTTTTAGTTCATTAATTCGGTAGTCTGAGCTAAAAAATATCCATTTCTTTTTTATATTTTTGAGCATTGTGGTTCCTTTTTACTGAAAGTCTAGCTTTCATCATCCTGTATTATACTCTGAGAAACATGAAGTCATCAATTTTACCACTTAGTATTGTGTTACACTAATTGACTGTCTTATCTTTATGAGAAAAATGAATGAAATACCTCACAAACTTTAAAATTACGGCAAATATTCTAATAGCGTTGTGGAGGAATGGTGCATGGACTCTGAAAACAAGTGACTGGCAATCTTCTGACCTGTAAATTTTCTTTTATAGCTTTCTAAATAGACCTGCTGGAATTCTCTTCCACATTGTCTATCTGGAATAGACCATGGAGCAAATTATCTATCAAACTTTATCGTGCTTTATCTTGAAGGGGCCTGTCTGGGTCTGCACAGAGGGAGCCCAGGAATAATATATGGATTAGATCTCTTCAGTAAAGCGAAATGAAACAAACTGACAGCACAGTCAATTAGGCATTGCTACATTCTTCAAAGTCATTAAAACTCAGGAAAAATGATAGACTCATTCTCCTTCTACTTGTGGCTTAGTAAGGCTAGAGTAACTCTAGGTAAGCCAAAAGACTCACACTGATATGACTGAGAAGAGTAAGAGGCTTTAGATGTTACTTGAATTAACTTGCTACATTTCCATACCTCAGAAAATCAGTACTTTGATTTTTTTTCATTCCAGTGGTTAAAAAATCAGAAAAATAATAATAATCCTCATGAGGCTGCTCAGAGAGAAACAGTCTGAATTTTGGACCTCCAACCAGGAAGTTACAAATAGGAAGGAAAAAAAGACAGATAAAGGAAATTATTAAGGGCTTATTATGGTTCATTTACTTAGATTTGCAAATGCTTGCCTATTCATAGATCTGAACCTTGAAGTTTAAGTAACCTAGACAGAAAATATGCATTTTATTACACAGGAA